TCAACTAAAAGTCATTGACCTACTATATTTACACTCTACTGGAATGGGGAAATAAATCTTGAGAGATGCAAAAAAATTAGAAGGTCTAGATCTATACCTTCAAAACAAAATGCGCCTCGCGAAATATCACTTCCGTATTTTCTAAAATTACAGAGACAGAAGCGTCGGCCTACATACGCGATCGGCGAAATAAAGAAATGTAGCCTTTTGCAGCAAAACTGTCTCAAACCTGAAAAAACGAAGGACGTCATGATCTGGAGAATATTTTAAAGAATCTTTTGGCGAAAACCGCATGTCGATCGATGCAGCCATTAAAAAGCCTTTTGAATAGCAAAATTCGGCCACCACAAATAGATAATAGATATGACTGAAGAAACTCCCCCACCCCCCCAACCAAATAAAAAATAAAATAAATAAATAAATAAATAAATAAAATAATAAATATAAATAGATAAATAAATAAATAATTTAAAAAATGTGGAAAACAAGTTGCTTTATGTCTTTTAAAAAAAACAACAACAGAGCCATCGATATGTTTCTATTCTATAATCATCATAGTATTGATATCTGCATTAAAATTATTATTAGTGTGCCCTTTCATCCGTTCCGACATCCACACCCGTGGTGAGGAATTAGAAACAGAAGTACAAGTCTATGATTACTCAGCAGTTACGCCTGTCAAAAAATCAAATAGACGACACTGAGGATCTGTCCCCGTGGTTTTGTGCACCCCGCATAATTAAGCAAAATTTGATCATGGTTTTTGGCATAATTTCTGATTATTCTCCATTATCATTCTTTGTTAAAATTAACAGAATCGCTTACTTTCACATTTTTTGGCTCAGTTTGCATAATTTCAGAACTTTTCTTGCATAAAACGACGGGGACCGCTGAGGATTGTCTCTGCAAGCTTGTTTTGTGTTTGCAATACATTGTACATGGTTATATTGTGTACACGGGTTTTATGTCAGTCTCACTTTCATAACTGTCTCATCGGAGCATTACATGTTCTCTCTCTTTATGTGTGTGTGTGTGTGTGTGTGTGTGTGTGTGTGTGTGTGTGTTTAGAAACAGGATAATTATATAATACAGTGCATGGTTAATGTGTTCAGGATCTGTTTTTCCTAAGCTTAATGCATAAAGTTTGATCAAATAGAAACAGACGGGAATCTGCACTTATCATAACAGTACGCGTATGTGTGTGTGTGTGTGTGTGTGTGTGTGTGTGTGTGTGTGTGTGTGTGTGTGTGTGTGTGTGTGTGTTATCTTTTGGAAGGTACAACTCATTGAGGACGAAAATTCTGGTAATTCGAACGTTTGAAGAAGGTTAACGTCGTTGCCCATACATATTTCCCCAACATATGTTCTATTTCCAGAGCCTCAAAAAGCTTCTTTTTTAAACAACATGTTTACTATGAAATGTACAATCTTGCGCTTTTGGTTTGTGTATGTGGGTTCAAACTGAGCCACAGTATTGCTCTTGATCTGTTTCTTGTCGGACAAATGTGTCCGATACGTCCCTTAAGAGTTTAACGTCCAGGGTCGCTTTACAGTTACAGAATACAGTTCTGCTCATAAGATTCGAGATCGAGTCTGGGGCTCTCGATCTTTTCAAAAATGGAAAAGAGCACCATATAAATTTATGAGGACTGAGTTGGCTGGTTTTGTTGTTTATTGTTGTTACTCTCGTTTTTTAAAAGTCATTTCTTATGCCTTATATTATATAAAGCGCGGGAGGGGGGGGGGAGTAGAGGTTTCCCTTCTGCAGTTTGGGTAGAGCTTGTCGTTTGCCCGTTCTTTCACTGCGATATCTGTACCTCTAGAATTTTTTTTTCTCCTTAAATAAATAAAATTTTGATGTTGTTAAATTTGAACCTAACAATTAGTCTGAGTGAATATTTCAGTTTTGTTATACATGTATTTGATCTGAAGGTTTGTAAATGCAGTGTGGAAGCCTTTTTATCTTTCCAGTTGAACGCATTCACTGTATGCAATTGCAAGGTGGAATTCGAACTTCTCTCGTCAATATATGTGAGGCAGCGTGGTGGAATCAGGCTGTCGTAAATTTTTAGGCATGTAGAGTTATTGGTATCATCTGAAAGTTTATTTACTTGTCTTTATTTGGATGGGAAAAAAATACATTTATCTTGAATACAAGTCGAGATATTTGCGAAAGAAGGAGGTGGGGGTCACCTTTTTTCAGAGGTAAAATTAGTGAGAAAATGGCCGCCAAAGATTAGTTATTTCCTTAGCTCAAAAGTCCGCGGTAACTGAAAATTTACACTTTTGTGCTTTTAATCAACGCTTTTCAGAAAAATACACACAGAAATGAGTTATTTATTGGGCATGTGAGGTGTTGAGGCAAAAAACAAAAATTTGATGAAAATTCACAAACCTGCTGAAAAATGCAAGTTTCTTCACTTTGATCATTTTGACGAGAGCCTGATTCCACCGCGCTGCCACCCATATTGTTATATTTCCGTAGGTTGAATATCATTTAATTTACTGAATCGAAAGGCTGTATGGTAATGTGAAAACACCTTAGTTCCTCCAGCAGAGCAGGTTGAATTCGTTCGAAACAGTTTCCGCATTGTAGTGAGCAAATCTCACAACTCGTTCTTTAGAACAGAATGAACATATATTGGTGGACAGGTTTGAGTAGTTGTAATGTGCAGAATCTATACTTAAGTCTCCCAGTAGAATCCTTACTTAACTCTCCCAGTAGAATCCTTACTTAAGTCTCCCCGTAGAATCCTTACTTAACTCTCCCAGTAGAATCCTTACTTAAGTCTCCCCGTAGAATCCTTACTTAACTCTCCCAGTCTTAACTCTCCCAGTAGAATCCTTACTAAACTCTCCCAGTAGAATCCTTACTTAACTCTCCCAGTGGAATCCTTACTTAAGTCTCCCAGTAGAATCCTTACTTAACTCTCCCAGTAGAATCCTTACTTAACTCTGCCAGTAGAATCCTTACTTAACTCTCCCAGTAGAAGACAGGCTTCCCGTAACTTTCTCTGACGTGGTGTGCTGGTACCCAGTGCTTGTTGCCATGGCGACCGGGGCCGTAGTCTACCTGCGACTGTGGGGGGTGTGGCCGGGAGCTGAGCTCGTACGCCGAGCTGGCCAATCGTACGTCGTCCATGGCGTGACTCCGCCCCCCGAGGGCCGGGTAAAGATTGTAGCCACCCAGACTCTGCGGAGACATGAACACAGGGCGTGCCACGTAGCCTACGTTGTGACCGCGGTCGTGGGCGTAGGCGCGGTTGTCTTTGGCGTATCTTTGCGACCGTCTCTGATGTCTCGGGGAGCGGTGGGGGACCACCACGGCGGATTTAGACGCCGGGTAGTCGTCGTAAGCTCGGAGCTGGAGGGGCGCGGGGTATCCTCTGGGTCTCTGTTTCAGGATCTGGGTCGTGTCTTCTTTTTCCGTCTCCGATTCGTCGTCTTCGTCTGAGCTAGTGAAATCGAAACACATGGCGAGAATGAGGTAAGCAAAGCCCAGGAAGTAAATCACGGCGGAGGCCGCGCCGAGCCAGAATGAGTAGCCGTATTCGGCCACTGGTATCGTCTTGTCCATCTCCCGGCGAATCTCTCTGTGGTACACAACTACCCCCGCCACTGTGAACGTCACTGAGGAGGTGGAGCAAGAATAATTGATTATAATTGATTGCATTATAATTGAAATTGCATATGATAATATTTCCGTTCAAAGATCAATTTAAATACATGTATAATACTAATGATGTAATAGTGATAATAATAATAATAATAATAATGATAATAATAATAATAATAACAATGAAAATAATAATAACAACAATAACAATGATAATAACAGTAATAATAATAATAATAATAATAATAATAATAATAATGGTGGGGATGATGATATGATGATGATGACGATAACATAAACAATAATAATAATAATAATAATAATAATAATAATAATAATAATAATAATAATAATAATAATAATAATGATAATATCTTGTGTTGTTTTTTTTGTTCTGTTAATTCCATGTTTTCCACCTCCACCGACACTTTGCTACCTAAGAATTACAAAGTTCTTTCTGGCATTTTTGGCCGTTCTGAGTTACTAAGACCATGAGGCCAGAGACCAAATGTTCTATCTACTCTATGAAAATCGTAAGATCAATCGGAGTCGTTATCAAGATGTGTTCCTGACAGCCCCATATGAAAAAGAGTGGGCAGAGGCCTCAAGAATGATAAAAACAGAAGTCAAGAGGGAAGCCCGTAAGCTGCACACTTCCATGGATGGAAGTAACGCTCTTAAAATTAAAAGCTCAAAATGTGACAAACTCCTCTCTGTCAGAATTATTCTCATTGTCCAATTCGCCAAAGCAGAAGACACAAGTCCTCTTATCCCAATCCCTTCTTTTACCCTTAAGAGTTTAATAGTCTCATAATTTGTACTCAAACAAAGTTCCATATCATATAGGAGCAGTCATGTACTTGCTACGATCATTGGTAACTGTATCACTGTATTATAACTACCATTATTATATTACTGTTTTACCCCACACAACTAATTGCCTCTACTCCTCAAGACAACAATTAGAACAGACATGCAGCTATTACCGAATGGCATCATGCAGAAGAGTTGACACTCAGATGCCACTGGATCGCTAACAACAACATATTACTGTTTTGTTATCACCCTTAAAAAAGAGTTCAGAATCCTTCCTTTTACAGATTGCCTAATGTGGGATCAATTCTCTAATACACGTACAAGCCGATCGCCAACCGATCGCCCAACTCGTTGCCTGAAAACAAACGCGTTTGTTTTTGAGACGATGAGCCGGGCGATCGGTTTGGGCAACGATAGCCGCTTTGCGCCCTCAATGTGGCTAGCAAACCGAACCGAACAGAACCGATCGTGTCAATGGGCACTGGTTATTAAAGGAGCAGTGACGTACTTGCTACGAAAGTCAAGATGGCGACTATGACTGTGATCCATCGGCAGTAGACTTTCCGAAAGATAGAGTAGCCGAACTGGATGACGGTGCAGACGAGGGCAATGGCGGCCAGCAGAAGTCCACACAGCATCATGGCGCGGACTGTGTCGATGTCGTCTGGAACAGAAGCGGAGACATTAATGTTCGATTTTTAAAGAATATTGCTGTTGTTGTTCTTTGTTGCTGTTGTTGTTGTTGCTGTAGATGTTGAGGGTGTTATTATTGATCAAGATAATGTAGACTTTTATGTTATTCGCTTTCGAGCAAAGGAATGAATAGAGAATCGTGATCGCCGATGTCTCTCGCAGATCTGAAACTTAATTAACGATGCCCACACTTTATGAGTCTATGCTACCATGTGACGTTCAACCAAAGATCGTGTATACAAGATAGTTCACTCCTCTCTTTGAGCCAATTAAAAAGTGCCCTCAAAATTCGATGGCGCCCTCTTCGAAAAAGCGCGGAATTTGCGAAACAGGGTTACCCTATTTGTGTGAAGAACAATAAAGATGAATCTAACAAACTATGCTACATGTATTCCTATTCTTCTTCTGGAGAAACGAAAGAGAGCTTCAAAACCTTGACTTGACCATCTATAATTTATTTATAGAGGCACCACCCATCATGTTCAGGTGCTGTTTTAGCATAGGGCTTCAAAATAAAGACTGCACCACCATCTGAAGCAATGCGCAGACTTCCGCGGAAACCTTTGGGCTGAGTTGTTTAGTGGAATTTTTAAGACTCAACACCAATATGGCTTTTACTTTTAGCTTAGCGGTATCGGAGATGGGCGTTAAATTCTGAAGTCTCGCCTCTCAAATCACCTCATAGTGTTGACTCTTAACATACGGCAAACCAGTTCAGCTTGCTCCACTGCTTACTGTCAAAACAAAAGTCTTCTATCAAACGTCGGCAGATTCATCTTATCTTTAATCAGACTGTATGTCTACTGCTGAGTGTACCATGCAGGGAAAATAAATCAAACGAGGTAATGCTTGATGAAGCCAACGTGGGACGCTCACTGTTATAAACAATTAGGAAACGACAAAATGCAGTTTTTGGGACACCTGAATCGACATACATGTATAAAGGTTTTGAACATTTAGCTTTCACTCGCAAAATTGAAGGCAAACGTATGCCCAGAGCAACCTATTTAGGGAACCTTAATAAATGGGTAACGGGGAAAGATCGGTGAAACGTAGCTTTTTTTAAGAGCATCCGAGCAAAGGAATGAATAGAGAGCGATGATCGCCGATGTCTGCCGCAGATCTGGCACTGGATGATGGTGATAATGTCTTCTGCTTGGATCATTCATTTCTACTCAGCTTAGTGTTTCTTTTATACAAATAGTTAAATACGGGTGGAAAGATATAGGGAAGTTCGTGGTGCTGAAGACTTTGTTACAGATTTGGTCGTTTACAAAGGAGGAGTAGCCCTCCGTAAATTAAGAGTCAAAAGAGACGTCACACCTTTGCAATGACCAAAGTCAAAGGGCATATTAATATATTTTTACAAGAATAAGTCATGGCACCGGTGTACTGGAACCGAGAAACCCTTCGAACCTCTCCAGAAGAAACGAAGATTGGGCATCGGAAACACGGCCCTGACGCATAAATACCTCCTACAGGGAGATGAGAAGCCGTTCTGTGTCGCATTTTACCACTAGACACATTTTAACCTAATGTCTAGACTTTGGAGAGACCCGAAGGAAATAGGCTACTTTAAATGCAAGAAATTGCAAGACATTTTTTCTCTCGTTGGTCCCAACAGAATCTTGGATTTTATTAAGGGCATTGGCCTTTATTGGAAATTATAAAATGAAACAATATTGTTAAAACTGTTATTGTGATTTATAAGAGTTGTTTTATATTGAAAATATATTTACACCAAATTTTAATATTTTAGCATGTTAAAGTCTAATAGTTGACCAACTGTGTAAGTGAACTGTTGCGAACGCAACCAACTTGTGTTTCGCTCACTCATATGACATTATGCAGTTGCGAGCGCCGTAAAACCCCATACTAAACTAAACTAAACCGGTGTCTGTGGTGTAACGTTTAGGTGCTTCGTTGTCGCACACAGGAGACCTGGGTTCAATTCTCACGTAGACAGAATGTTTTTTATCGAATACCTCAGTCTTTCTGCTGGGATGTTGTGTCCCTCTCAGCCCGGGTTGGCCCTGACAGGCAGGGTCGGAAGTCCACCTCCTAAATGATCTAAATTGTCTTGATGGGGTCTTAAAAACACCTACATTAAAAACAAACAAGTCTGTGGCCGGATCTTAGCTACAAGAGCCGCCACAAAAATCATTCTCTTCCTCACCCACCTTCATTGGGTATTGTGCGGCAGTTTGACCCTTGACATGTCCTCCAGATCCCGAGGTTGTAGTCCACCTGGTTGAGGGTGTAGAGTGTCCACTCCTCGCTGGCGGTGGCCACGAGGTCCAGGGTTACACCCACCAGGAGGAAGACAGCGGAGGCTAGGACCATCAGACTCATGGCTGTAGTGGGTCAGGGGGGGGGGACTATTGGCTGGTGGTGGTATGTCAGTGAGGGGTGGTAAAGAGGGGAGGGAGGTGTTAAAGGGAGAGGTGATGGAGGAGGAGAGGGAAGGGGGGGGATGGGAAGAAAAGATTTTATTGTATCACTCTTGAGGAATATTTTAATTTTAGAAACGTTTTTTAAAAATGGTGGAACGAGTGGGACCAAAATAGACTCTCTCTCTCTCTCTCTCTCTCTCTCTCTCTCTCTCTCTCTCTCTCTCTCTCTCTCTCTCTCTCTCTCTCTCTCGCTCGCTCGATCGCTCTGTGCGCGAGCGCTGTGTATGTGTGTGTGTGTGTGTGTGTGTGTGTGTGTGTGTGTGTGTGTGTGTGTGTGTGTGTGTATGTGCGTGCGTGTGTGTGCGCGCGCGCCCTCGCGCCCGCGTGTTGTTTTATAAAAAATATATTTTAAAAGCTATCTCGCCCTTTGCACTTTTACAAATTAGAAACACACTTATTAAGAGTAATCAACCCCTTAGACTCTGGACAGGACACTTTCGTTCCGAGGACATATTGACAATGTTGCTGTCAGGGCTCAGAAGGGCATCAATGTAGTGAAAACCTTGGCTTTAGCGGGAATTCAACAGAGAGTTCTTTTTCTCCTAATGCAGCCGGTGGTTCTGTCAGTCATAGAATATGGTCTGGGAATCCTCTCCCTGTCCAAGACTCAGATAGACAGGTTGGAGAGAGTACAGAATGCAGCTATGAGGGCCGTTGTGGTTGCACAAAGGACACCCATGTTGTCTGTATGAGATACATGTACATGATCCTTGACCTAGCCAGCAGCAGAGTGAGTCATAAAGTGGCACAGGCTAAGCTGTACATGAATGTTTTGGAAGACCCGAGGTACCCTTTGCATGACAACCTAAGCAGCGTCAAAGGAAACATGATCAAACGGGCAGCTCATGGATGGCAGAAACTGAAGACTCCTTGTGGAAAGTTTGTGGCATCGATGAAATATGCTGTGGAAAGGAATGTTTTGAACTGAGCCCCGATTGCAGAAGCCTGGCCAACGTTCACATCACTATGGGTCGTGAAAAACCGGAATACGCTGCTGTCATTAACGACAATGACATACGACGTATATTGAGGAGCACTTCAAGCCAGAGGACCCAGTGATCTACACAGATGGATCGGTCAGGAGGGGTGAGAGAAGTGGGTGGGTTTTTGTTGTCTACAGTGGGAACAAACAGGTTCATAGCATGTCAGGGGCGATAGAAAGAACAACTTCAAGCATGAAAATGGGGATTGAGGCCGTAACAAGAGCGCTTGGATGGCTTCAAAATACAAGACCAAGAACTACTCATCTCATTATTGTCACAGACTCCCAGAGCATCCTGTGAAGGGTTGAGAAAGGGCTTCTTTGGAGTGAATGGATGTACCCAATACAACACTCATCACTAAGAGCCATCACGTGGATATTCTGTCCAGGGCACTCTGGAGTGAAGGGCAATGAGGAGGATGATAGGCTGGCAGGCAGTGCCGTGATTGATGGTGATGTGAAACTTAATTTGACAAAGGAGAAGTGTTGAAGACCCTGGAAAAAAAGTTGCGGGATGAGGAAGACAGGGAGACAGCAGAATACCACGCAATCATTAGGATGCAGGAAATGGGGATAGAGAGGGGATAAGGAAGAAAGGAACGATTATCCGGAGAGGAAAAGCGTCGCCATAATCAGACAGCCACTGGAACAATCAGTATGGATACCTTGCGGACTTTGGTGCTGGGGGGAACTGAGAACTTATGGATGATGTACAATGGCGTTGTTGCACAGGACAGATAGTACAGGTGACCCCTTATAAGCAAGTAAACCCTATGGACAGACCTACATTTTGGATCATTCAGAAGGCAGATTGCTTCCACCACTACACTCGTCCGAAACTGCCAACGGTGTTTGAGATATTCCTCGCCAGAGTGAGAGAGACTGAGATTTTGGGTAAAATGCCCCCCCCCTCCCCCGTTCCCCCCTCCACGCATATACACAAGAGAAAAACAAGGAAAAAAAGTCTACATTTGCAGTGGAAATAAGGACCTGTCCCTCCAAGTCTACGCCCAAATCAAACCTATAACCGTTTGATTACGAGTTGGGCATCTTAACATCTGACCAAGACAAAGGACACCCGTTGGGCATCTCCCGAGAAGTCAGCTACACATTCGGTCTTCAAAAACCCCCGCCCGGTTGTAATAAAATACTTCCGCGACACAGTTGTGCACAAGACATGCCTAGCGAAATGCTACACCCTTAAAGGTCGATCGTGTCTCTTTTGTATTGAGGCGGGG